GTTTTTTCCACGAATTTCATTCTCGAGATGGGGATGTTCATTTGGTGAATATAATCCTCAGGAAAAAATGTACCAACGAGTTCATTCTAGCTTGGAAGCACAACTGTTGAAGTCCGAAACCACCATAAGGAAAGCAATGTCTTGGCCATGTTTTTTAAGAGCACATTGGCAAGACTATCAAAACAAGAACTGTTTAATCTTGAAAGTACTTTTAAAACATAATCTCCGTCAAGTCCCAGTCCCTTTCAAGACCCCTAACCGAAACTTACACCAGAACAAGTTTGATACAAGAATTGACTCATCAAAGATGGTAACGATAATGCCTTCACTTAAGCCTACAGTTTCGAACTCATCCACACAAACCACCCGTCAATTAGTTCCACACAAATCAGATATGTACACAGAAACAAAATCCAAATAGCTATTTCTAGAGCATCCCTCAATAGTAGAACCAGTATAAGAAAAGGTATCACCACATCGGCTAGTTAATATGTTGGACATCACAGAAAAATGTGGCATATTCCTTACCAGACGTGAGCCGGCTTCTCTTTGATGTACTCGGCCCAGACTGAAGATTAATACAATCAATAGTTAGATTAGAAAAAAACACCAAAAGAAGGGTTCTTAACCGCAAGAAAAATATAACATGAGGCTTTCAAAATTAGGAATTATTTACACACCTCAAAAATCATTCATGACATTTTTAAATATATACATAAAACAAGAATCAAAACAAGCAAGCATATTGAAACACTATGAAACTGACCAGAAGTAATATAACATTAACAATATAATGAAATTACACCTCAGCTTCAGGTTCTGGCAGTTGATTTTTGTCTCGCTCTGTTTACTCCAGAGAAAAATAGAAGAAAAAGAAGACTGAAATGAAACGAGCTCAAGGCGAAATGAATTCTGCAAATGTAAATCAGAAAGAAAAAAAAATATTTAGAGAGAGGATACCTGCAACTCGTCTCTCCCAAACAAGCCTGAAAATTGCACGAATCAAATCCTGTTACGTATGCACAGAAAAAAAAAGCATAAAATGATCAGCACTTTAAGATCAAATTGGCAGCAGAAGTTTTAGAAAGTAGTAAACATGAAATGAAGAAAGTAACAGATTTTACTTACTCGATCAAACGTATTTTCCTCCATGGATGGATGAAAAAGAGCAACACAATGAACGCAGCTAATTAATTAGAACAAAGAGACATTTTATAAAAACGCTCTTTGCTCTTTGGTTTACTTTGCGCTTGTATGGGGGTTGAGGTATTAAACGTGGTTACCCTCCCTCGGACAATTTGAGTGATGATAGAATTCGAGTTTTAAGTTAACGAGGTAAGTTAACGAGCCACTTATTTTATTTAACAATTTTAGTAACAACCTACAACATAATAAAAAAATAAATCAAATTGAGAAACCCTTTGGTTTATGACGTTATACTCGTTCTAATCATAATATACATTTTTTTTTATCATAATATAAATTAAATTATTTTATAATGTAGGTAGATTTTTCTTTTAATATAAATTTTATTAAAACTAATCCTAGAATACACAATGTACCTCAGTTTCATTCATAAATTCCATAAATATATTCATAAATTCCATAAATATAATTTAGATTATAAGTATATACCAAATGATTACATAATGTAATCATTTCTATAATTTAATCTATATATATATATATATATATATTAACATGGGCTATTCATTTATTTCAAATGAAAAAAAAGGCTCATTTTTTAGCTAATTATGGTAGTACTGATACAATAATATTATTATGTATAATTATATAATTTTAACTATTATATTATACAATAGTTAATAATTATATTCACCAATCATTATATAGAAGTTACATAAGTAACTTTATACACCAAAACTTAATAAGTGAAAATTTCAAATACAGAAGTGAAAATGAGATAAAGTTGGGTACTATATACAAAATACAAGACAAGAAAACAATGTTTTGAGTCAAAGACTATAAACAAATATGTTGTGTGGTCCAAGTTATCCTCAATCCTCATCCTAATCTTAATCTGCTAAAAAGAAATAAACAATTGTATTATTCGTCATTCCTCTTCCTTATAATGCATAATTTTAAGAACACTACAGTGACACAGTCTACAGATGGTTTCATCACTTCTATTTAAAATGCTATATTAGTCTTAAACATCATATGGTCGGTTTTTTTTCCCCAAAATGGAAGAATCGATTGTAAATATCCACTCGAAACCTTTTAAGGTTTGAATTCATAATCATTAAAATTGAACCAATTAATAATTGTTTCAATATATATACATATATATATAAATAAATCCATATGAAAGGGGAAAATAAAAGAAATGATCATGTCCTGAAATAAGAATAAAAATTGACCCATCAGTATGAAGCCTGCAACCAAGCTCGGCCTGCATTGCTGAGACATATAACACTGCACTGTACTAATGAAGAAGAATTGTTACTTTCATGGAGTAATAAAAAGGGGGTTTAGTGGTCCACTCAACCAAGTAAAAGGGCATGCATGAAAT